CCACTCCCTTCCCTTGCTCCCTACTTATCCAATGGATTATCATTTGATATTTTGAATTTTGAATTGTGTTCTTTCCCTTTTAATGCAAGTTTTCCTTTTTTGTCATCAGGTAACGATACTTTCACGGCAAATGAAGAGGGCCTTGGAATGCTGATGTCCATGGGATTCACACGAGAGCAGGCAACTTTAGCTCTTAAGGAAACCAGCAATAATCTAGAACGTGCAGCAGATTGGATATTTTCACACCAACATGAGCTTGATTCTCTTTTAGCGGCACAGAGTGGTGCTGCTGCTCCTCCCCCACAAAAGCCAAACTACACAGATGGAGAACCTAAGTAAGTTATTCAGTTATTTCCTGCATTTATAAATGAAATATATTTTTGTTTATTGCTATGTATGTTTTTGTCGTAAGGAACATTCACATCACAAGTCTAAGCACTCAAGTGTTTGAGGATAATCATCTGAAGCTTGTTCCCAGCTCTGTTTTGTTATTAAAGATTTTGAAAGACCTCCCCATAAGACCTGATTTTGCATAAAATGTTTTTACTTTTGTACAAAAAATGGGCCTTTTCAGAGAGAACCATATGATAGAAATCAAGGAAAAATGCAATATTGATTGATTGATTTTTTTTTTTTTTTTTCCTCCCACAGGTACGAGTTAACAGCATTTATCAGCCACATGGGAACCTCCATCTTTGTTGGCCACTATGTTTGCCACATTAAGAAAGATGGAGAGTGGACAATCTTCAATGACAATAAAGTCTCTAAATCTGCAGATCCACCCTTGGACCTTGGTTATATATACCTTTATAAACGTGTAAATAATTAGGGACTGGTGGTATGAATTTGAGAATCTGTGGCAGGAAGTAGGTAGTGGCCATTTTGAAAATTTCATTATGTACCAAGTGCAGACCTATACCAGAGGGAGGATGAAAAGAGGATGAATAGCAGATAGCTTAAGGAGTTTCACAAAAGATTTTTTATGAGAATCTTCTTAGAGACTGAGTGTCATGTACCAATTACTTGGATGTTTTATGCATTTCCCTTGTTTTTTTCAGTTTTAAGGATTTGTTCTACTTCATATTGGTTTTATGTTCTTGAGGCCAGGGTTCTATGCATTTTAATTCCACTCTTCCAAGTTTCATTTGTCCTCAAGACTGACATTGTTAACAAGAATCTTTGCTCTATTTTCAGAGGAGAAAGAGCAGTACACATCACATTATGCAAAGAAAAAGGTTTATGACTTAACCAAATAAGAGGCCTTACATTTTCTTAAGAGATATGCAATATATAAAGTAAACAGAATGTGATATATATAAATATATGGACATGTTCATGGGAGCAAAGCAAAAAATGGACAAAAGAAGAGGAAATATTTCATCAGAGGTCATGCTGGCTAGGTGTAAATGATGCTTGTGAACTCTACTGTGTCTCTAATATTTCTGATCCCAGTCAAGAAGAATGGGGCTCTGTCAAGACATGCAAGCCTGTTTTTTTTTTTTTTTTTTTTTGCTGTCATTTTCCAGTGCTTTTGTTGGCACAGATATTTGGATCTCAATCTTTCAGTAACTTTTAGGAAGGATGCAAAAACACAAGGGAAATTGATGAGCATTGGCATTCTAGAAGTTCCCCATGATTTTTGAGTCCAATACCAGCACTTTAATATTTCCATTGTGTTTAGTACCTAGCTGTGAATTTTACAGTCCTAATATTCCACCAGTTAGATTGGATTAAGTGTTATTAGTTTGTTTTTTATTAACTTTCCTAATACAGCTATGCTTAAAATTAATTGTTAGCTTAAAGCACAGCCACTAACAATGTTTTTTTTAAAGAATTTGTACTTGAATTTTGTGTGTAGAAAATTTTATGGACATATGTGGTTTGTGTGTATGTGCGTGCATGTAAATATCTGTTTACATGTTTGTGTATGTGTTTGTGTGCATGCATGTGTTTGTGTACATGTGTAATTGTGCATTTCTGTGTACATGTGCATGTATGTGTGTGAGCATACCTATACATATATACATATATGCAATATATTTACACATCCACATGCATAATCACAATCATACACACTCACACTCACATTTTTATCTAGTTATTATTAAAGTACGACTGTTTTTCACAAGCCTAAACTCTATTGTCACCAGATTTGAGCTGGCATCCATACTTTTTCATAATTTAATGATGTGATATAATTTCATTTTTAAAGTAGCGAAATGGAGGATCTCACACGAATAAAATACTTTTGGAAACTTAGTGTAAGTGTCCTGTTTTGTAGAAACTTTCCTTAGGTTGTATCTGGTATATTGCCAGGGAAGTGATCACAGTCTTGTGATATTGTCAGTCATGGCTGCTACTGCTTTTCTGTTCCATGAAACCATTTTTTTCTGCTTATATTTTGTAATTTATGTTTTCTGCAAATTTATTTAGGTATTAATTGGTCTTTCTGGACCTGCAGTGTGTGGATATGTTTGTTAATAAAACATAAAAGAAAATC